CAGCAGGGCAGCAGCAAGCAAAGCCAGGCACTCCCAGTACAGAATTCTCCATATGCAGGTACAAATGGGTGGACAGAAGTAGATAATGCTTGGTATATGCTGAGGCATCCCATAATTTTTGTTATTAGTGATCCTGTTGAAAGCACTGTGACTACAATGGATTTCAAAGTTTGGAGAAACAGGGCTCTAATTCTCCTACATAGAAACACAGGCTGGTTTGGGTTGGAAATGACCTTAATATCATAGAGTTCCAACCCCTGCCACAGGCAGAGACACCTTCCACCTTCCATGGAGCAGGTTGCTCCAAGCCCAGGTGTCCAACCTGGCCTTGAACACTGCCAGGGATGGGGCAGCCACAGCTTCTCTGGGCACCCTGTGCCAGCACCTCAGCACCCTCACAGGGAAGAGCTTCTGCCTCAGATCCAACCTGACCTTCCTCTGTTTCAGTTTGAACCCATCACCCCTTGTCCTGTCACTCCAGTCCCTGATGAAGGTCCCTCTTCAGCATCCTTGTAGCCCCCTTCAGACCCTGGAAGCTGCTCTGAGGTCTCCACGCAGCTTCTCTTCTCCAGGCTGAACAGCCCCAATGTTCTCAGCCTGTCTTGGTCATAGGTAGTCATATATACTCCTATTTTCAATAAGGAACAGGTCTGAATGCTACTCAAATGGATCAGTGGCTCCTATTTTCTTTGGCATTCTGGGAATTCATAGCTCTAGGCAGTAAGGCTGAACTGGCATGAAATGCTGTTGGATGAAGTGCTCCAAAATAGAAAACTCAGAATTTATGACCATCTGTCAAGACTGAGGGACTTGACTCCTGTGCTGGCTCTTAACCATAAAAAGAATTTGTAAAACAAATCAATCTAATAGATGGTTTCTATGGAAAAAGCCATGCAAAAGAGGGCAGTGGTTTTACTGCTGTGTTCTCCTCTTTTATTGTCACTGGACAAGCATTACGTTCTTTCTGTAGCTACAACACTGAGCACTCGCTCAGTCTAGCTGCTTCCCTCTCCTGCACACATACAAAGCAGAGCTGAATTTTACAGGGAATCCTTCAGCCCTTTGGGAACACAAAAAATGCAGCCAAAGATGTAGGAGGCTGCCAGAGAGTTTATGGTTATCGGTCCCAGAAGCTCCTAAGGAAAATTTGTTTTGTAAAAATGTCTCCAATTTTTCCCTGCTGCATGAGAAGTGCAGAAGGGAGAACAAGGCATCCTTAACCAACTCCTGCTGCAAGAGGAGCAAACTGGAGATACTAGACAGGCAAAAGCAAGTGCCTGGACTCCAAATACCATTTTAGCATGAGAAGAGTCTGCTATTTCATAAAGGCAAAGAAAGCTTTTGCATGGGACTGGGGAAACCAAAGGATCAGGGCACCTGATCTCCCACCTATGGGTGCCTTTTCACCAGCTATAGCCCCAGAACCTTCACTCCTCTGCTGCCTAATGTTTTCACCCACCTGCCCTCTACTGCTGAGTATCTGGGTGGCTGTTCCCATCCACAGAGAAGACTTCTTTTGTTTGCCTGTCCTGTAACCTAATGGGACAGGATTTCCAGAAGGTAACCTAATGGGATAAGGATTTCCAGAAGGTATCTGTTGGGCTGGGCACTGCACAAAGTAGTCATCACTGCTCCTTCGTCCTGCACCCCTGTGGCCAGAGTGCTCACCCAAGAAAAGCCCTGGTTTGCTATCTCCACTGTGTGAATAAGCCTTTGAAGTTGTTAGTCACTGAATGAGGCCTCCTCTGTGCCCCTAACGACCAAGCAGGGTGAGCAGCAGGTCAAGGGAGGGGATTCTCCCCCTCTGCTGGCCTAAGCATTTCCATCCATGCATTTCAAAAGGTGAGGGATGGATACAGGTAATGAGGTGATAAACTGGAACTCCTGGTTTTATTGCATCTGTACCAATGAGCATTCTCAGCTCTTTTGAACTGGTTTAGGCTTTGCACGTACTGCTGTGCAGTAAATCTGGAATCCAATCAGCACTGATTAGATTAGTTTGCAAGTAGTTTGGTTTCCTCCTCTAAGCAACAGTTACTGTATTTCAGTCTTATTTTGAAGTTGGTGTTTTGGATCTCCCTGTGAACTCCATGCACAAGACTTTCACCTGCAGGACTGAGAAACCTTACAAAGAAAGGGAAGAAATCTTTGTTCAGGCTCCGCCAGGTTTGGATGAATTGCTGCAAGTTCAAAACCCATTTCTTCAACAACAGAAAGCACCCGAACACAAAACACAAGTATGTTCAGAGAAAGCCCAATGAATTCATAGTAAGCTGTTTCAGCATTTTCTCACCTATCATCACCTCTTTTTGTTGCACTGCCTTCTCAGACTGCACCCACAGCCTGTGTGTTATGGCTGCTGTCCTCAAAGGATGCAGTTAACCAACATTTGCCTGTATTAGTCATCCTCAAGGAATGCAAACAAAGATAAATATCCATAATCCTCAAATGTTCATTGAATCCATGTGAGTTCACCTCTAGTCTCCTGATTTCATGGATCAGCCCTTCAGCACCTCTGAGATGGAGGGCATTCAAAACCGCCAGCATTAGTGCTGACAGGTGAGAAGGCAAAAGGTGATCTCAGCTTGATCCACTGAAGCTTCCCACATGCCGGTATGTATTCCCAAAGACACCCTGCAAGCCTCTGCTTGCCTTGCCCTACAAAAGTCTTTATAATTCTCAAAGTCTTTAATTCTGTCTTTCCTTGGATCACCTTGCCCATAGACATGCAGAAGGTACAGATGTTGTGGCATTAGACTCACAGCTCTTCCTCATCTTTACTTTCAACTAATCAAAGAACTGTTATCTCTGGCTCCTGTATTCCACCCGATCCCAGGTGATAAGTGCCTCAGTTCTCTGGCTCAGAGCAAATACCACGTGCTACTGCTAATCTAGAGCCACTGCTGTAAAAGCACGTGGAGCCCTCCTGCAACATAAGCTCAGAGCAAGCACAAGCTAAATTCCACCAAAATTTCACCCTTAAACTCAGCAGCAATGCAGAAAATCCTGAAGCAGAGAGAACAAGGGAATCAACCTGGGAAATAACAAGCCATCTAAATGCAGAAAGAACTGAGTGTGGCTTTACTGGTTCTGAGCAAACAACATCAAAAGAGCTGCTCTTGTTTCAGAAGATCTGTCCTAAGTTATTAATTAAGCTCAAGATTCTCTGTCACTGTACTCAGACTGTTACAGGACTTTGGGTGTTGTAACATTGGTCATTTGGAACAGAGCCTCCAAGGCCTCTTACAGTTTAGGAGACAAAGATGGCAGAGATAATGGAAGCTGGTGATGATGGCCAAGACAGTTCACTCCTATCACGTTCTGACATGTGCTGCTCTGCCAGGCAGGAGCGTGTGATTACTCAATATCAGTACCTGCATGCAGGGTGTCCTGCTGTTTCCTTGTGTGCAGCATGTGAGGTGACAGTGGCCACATTATGTGTGGCAGAGGCAGCAGCAGCAGCCTTCTGTGCTCTTCGCCCCCTGTGGCATAAGATGAGGCTGGATGAGGAGTTATCTTCCCCAGCTGAGATTCTGCAGCAAAAGGTCAATGCCAGCGAAATGCTTCACCTCTTTTATCTTTGTTCAGCTTTTACATCAGAACATTTATGGAGCAGTCCCAGTCTCACTAATACTTCCTCAGTGAAAGAAAATAAAGGCCAAAATAACTTCATTCCTTCTGGCCAAAGCCGACTCTGGAAATTCGTAGAATGAAATTGTGCTGTTTGGAGCATGTATGTAGAGTGTTTTGTCTTACAGGTATGGTAAAGGGGTTTTGAAACAAGTGAAAATCAGGTCTATCATGTTCAGTGTTTCACCAAGAGCTGAAGAACACTCATAGGAATCAGAACCACCGCAGTAATACAGTCAAAGGTTTGTCAGTTTTCTGTTCCTTAGAGCAAGAGTATCAAAGGCACAAAACATTAATTCAACAGACAGTAACTGTGCCTCGTGTTCGTCACTTCTATGAGCTCTTTATGGATAGAGAGAATGCCAGTCACCCACACGGCTCCTCAGAAATATATGCATACCAGGAATACTGATTTGACTTCCTGACTGTACAAACAGAACCTCGGTGTCAGACAGACACGTGTGACAAAGCTCTTCTGCAAAAGCAAACAAGAGCGAGGGGAGCACATGAACTTACTTGGGTGATGACGACTGGATTTTCTTTCAAGATGGGATCCTGCAGCAAAAGCTGGGCAAAACTTTCTGTGCCTTCACCTCCTAAGCCATTAGCGAATGCTGTCATGGCAGGTAAGACAGCATTGGGCAGGCCCAGCCACTTCACAAAGCCCTCAATGAATCCCGTCCGGAAGGAGCTGTAAGGCAAGAGCTGCAGTTAACCTCCATAACTGGGTATTTTGGCAGGTCTCTGATTTCAAACGTTGATCTGTTACTGTTCACACAAAAATCAAAGCACTGTAAGAAGTCAGCAGAAGGCAAATTGCTACACAAGCTGGTCAAACAAACAAGCAAACAACCTGAATGGGGCCAGACCTTGCTTCCAGACAGGCTTTGAAGTCTGCAGTATTAAAGGATGCCTGAAGTATAAAAGACTTAAAGGCATAAGAAAGTCAATACTATTAACACCTAATGTCAAAAAGCTCTTCCCTAACTTCAGAAGACCCCGGGCAGAGTCTCATACCAGCTCCAGCTGAGCTGCTGCACCTCCTTTGCTCACCCCTTGCTACCCTGTGTAGTACCTTTGCTCTTCTTCAGGGAAGAGCCATGCAAGGGACATCCCACAAAGCGCCGCATAAGCGAACCTTCCTGGTTCAGCCAGCTGCTGGCCCAGAAGCACACACGGTTCCTTTTCACCTGCTTCTCCAGCCCCACTGTGCTGCTTTGAAGCCCAATATTTCCACTTCTCTTCTGCAGCCATTTTTACCTGCAAGAACAAAGAGAGAAAAGCAGAAGGAAAAAGAAATCAAAACCAAACAACAAACAGTTGTAAACGAGGAAGAAAAGAGACAAAGCGCCGTCGATTTTTCAGTCACACTTGTCAGTATTAAATCCTGCTGTGTATCCCCCCACCACATGGCACCGTGGTGGGGGGACACAACAGGACACTTTCTGTTCACCAGTTCTCAAATGTTTGGCACAGAATGAGCTGACAATTCTCCATGCAGCAAAAGGAGAAGTCAAAGCTCCATTCAGGCATATCCTTCACGTGTTTATCACAAAAATCACATGTAGCTATGCAGGGACCAGTACAGTGGCCTGGGAAATAATTTGCCTCCTTCATCCTCAACCCAAATTTCTCCTCTGTTTATTTGCTGACAGCATCAAGAAAGTTGAGTCCAGCTGCAGCCTCCGATGAGAAGGACATTTCATGTGCCCCATGGACATTGCCATGCTTTGCTTGTGCCATTCTCTCCTCTATACAACCTGCCACTGCTTTGTCCCTAAACGTAAGATCCCTGCACCACACAGACCTTGAGCTGAGCCAAAACACTACTTTTTAGAGCACAGACATTCACGCTTCCAACTGAACAGCTTCTAAGTACTGCCCAGGAGCTCCCCTGCTTGTACAAGAGGCTAATCAAGATGACTGAAATCAGGAGATGTGACAACAGCTCGTTTCACAATTCAGGGTGGGTAACAACCTGCTCCAAAGCTTTGTTCACATCACCTGAAATGTCTACTGACTTCATCAAGCTTCAACTGGCTTCTATTTCATTATATATTTCCTATTTAGATGTTTCCTTCCTTCCAAACCATGTAGAAAGTGGCTAAATAGGAATTAGGAGCCTGTGGATGCAGACACCATTTATGGGATAGTTTCAGAGTTGCAGAAGAAAGAAAAGCAGCACAGGAGCAGCTCTTTTTAAACATGCAGATTTGATTATCTGCATGCTGTCTGTCACCAGGAAAGGTGTCTGTCTTCCCTTCCCACTCAGAAATGAATTGGAGGCGATTTGTGTTTCTCAAGGCTTGCAGTGTTTAACTGCTGGTGTACACACACAGAGCAAATTCAGCACTCCAGGGCCAGTGCTTATCAGAACTCACGCCTCGCTCCGGAGGAGAGCTCAGCCCTGCTGCAACAACACAGACCTCATACCTCCTGGTGCCATCCCTGCCTCAAGGCTAAGGTATCTCGGTGCATTTCCATGGAAACATCACATTCAGCAACATGGCAGCACAAAGTCCACGGGAGTGAACTCACTCTGTTCCTTCCAACCAGAGAAGGGAAGGGCCAGATTAGGCTCCCCCGGGCAGAGCGCGTGCCTGGGATCGATCCACCTGAGAGCTGCAGAGGTGGTGTGAGCCATGCCTCTGCGCCTTCTACAATCCTCTTACAAGGTCCCACCACTGATTTACTACCTCGGGAGCTCCAAAGCCTGCATTTGGACCCCCAAATCCATTTCACATCACTTGCTACGCTCTGATCTTCCTAAACCATCCAGACTTACAGAGCGATTTGCCCAGAAATGATCCAACATGTAAAAGCTTCAATAACTTTACAATTACTTGGCATGTCTACTCACCTCTGGACACAGATTTATCAGTTTAGTACGGGAGACAAAATCCCCTTCCCTGCTGTGACAGATTTATTGATTTGTTAACACAGGATCATTTGAAAAGCGAAGCAGCTAAAAAGGATGATCCAGAAAGAGTACAACTGTTTCACCTTGTTTCTCAGTAACATAAAGGATATGACCAGTTATGGAGAGACACCAGAGCAGCTTCTTGCATGCAACTTTATTGCTGTTATGCCACAAATAATTCGTGATGCTGAGCATCTAGAATTAGTTTCTGAAAGACTTTACTCTGAAGATGCTCTGATCAGCAAGCTTGATGTGTGTCCCTCAAAAGAGGCATCTATTTCTTCATATATACCTAGTAAAAAATGAGCTTGGATTAAGTATAAAAGCATAAAAGGGGAATAAGTGATCTAGTAAAGAAAACTTGTGCCACTAAATCCAAGATGAGGGAATGGGGAGCTAGAAATACAGCCCAAAAGTTATTTACAGCTTGTGGCACTAGAATTCACATCTCTGGCTCGAGCAGTGTGATTCAGCAATCAACAGCATCGCCAGAATCTGAACTGTCACTTGAAAGAGAAATTTTTTATCACTTCCAGCACTGACTTTTCACACCACCTTTTCTTGAGAGGTGGTGTGTTTTACACAGCAGCTCCCACAGGCCTATTTGGGAAGCAGGAAAATAATCCTTTTGTGGATCTGAAGCTGTACAATACACATGCTCCCTACTGCTGGGAGAAGAAATACAGAGATGCTGGTGTCTCTGTCTTAAATTACAACAAAAGTGACCGAACTGCTGACACGTTCATCTCCAAGAGCTGCTGCGAGGGCTGGAGCAGCTCTGCTCTGGAGCCAGGCTGAGAGAGCTGGGCTGGGGCAGCTGGAGAAGAGAAGGCTCCTCAAGGGGACACCTTAGAGCAGCTCCAGTGCCTAAAGGGGCTCCAGGAAACCTGGAGAGGGGCTTTGGACAAGGGATGGAGGGACAGGCCAAGGGGAATGGCTTTAACCTGCCAGAGGGGAGATTGAGATGAGCTCTGAGGCAGAAGCTCTTCCCTGTGAGGGGGCTGGGGGGCC